GAGTCGATGCATCGGCGTGGACTGGAGGGGCGCGAGAGGATTCTTGGACCAGACCACCCAGACACCCTGTCAAGTATCCACAACCTGGCTAATACGCTGCGAGACCAAGGAAAGTACGATGAATCAGAGACGATGCATCGGCGTGCGCTAGAGGGGCGCTCGAGGATTCTTGGACCAGACCACCCTAGTGTCCTAGCAAGTGCCAACTGCTTGGGGTCTGATCGTTCACGGACGATAGGGCAGCACGCACAGGAGCCCCTTCCCGGAACCCCACAGCGTGTGCGGCCACGATTTGCCCGTCGCATTGTCAGTTATTTACGGGGGAGAGTTCTCTTCCCCAAGCGTAATAGGCCGACATAGTGACTCATGGTATTGTAAGTAGTTTGGTTGAACTGGAGTTGGCAGGAGTGGGCTGTTAGTTTCAACTGGCACGGAAGACAGGAGGGACCTACGGGAGAACCACGGTAGAACGTTCCGGAACAGCAAGAATGGGGAACCCGATGCTGTGAATGGCGGGCCGTTGAAGGACAGTATAGAGGAAGTGTTAGTTATTTTTACATTCCCGCATTTTATCTTCCCCTGCTTCCTTCCCTTCCTAGTGATATATTAGTTCATCTTTAGTAGAAAAGAATGTCGTATGCCTTCTCACCCAATAGTCTCCTTGCAGTTCCCCCTCTCCCTTTATAATCACAACGTGTGTCTCGTTTGGTATTATTACGCAGGCTGTGAGTGCCAAAACACAATCCGAGTTGCCTACCAGCCTCTCATACCCCCTCCTGCTGGCTAATTTCCCCCTGGCTTTCTCAGCGGCATTACGGGTGCCTTGTGCCATCTTACACTCTAAGAGGCTAAGGGAACCTGCAGTACCCCTATATCCCCTAATACAAGGTCCCTACCAGCGCCGGACTGTCTATGAATGATAATCCGCCGACTACCTCCATGCGCGACTGCACGGTCCCATTAGAAGTACTGCCGACAGCCCCAACACCCTGACCTGTGCTGGCTTGTCACAATCACTGATTTCACTTATGCCGCAAGAATTCAGCCGTTATTACTTTTATTTCATTGGTTTGAGAGGTGAAAGGTTCGGGATCTGTTTGCCAGTGGATATGGAGGAGCTGATTACCTTGATGAAAAGATATGGAAAAGAGGTTAGAAATCTGGAGGTGAGGGGCAGTGAGGCGAAGAAAAGGAGTCTTGAGATGATGAGAGAGAGGTAGCTAGGAGGATAGAAGAGAGAAGCAAAGGGAGGGAGAGGGAGCAGCGGCAGATAAGAAATTGGGATACCATTGCCCGACAAAAGAGACTCCCGTGTGCAAAGGCCACGAGCGGCGGGAACTGAAAAAACTGGGGAAGGGCATTAAAAGGTCCTTTCTTAAATCCTATAATGACATTACCCTATTAACTGATAACCCGGCAATCCCATTGCAGGAGGAAGTAACTTATGATTATTCAGCAACCATCGCCCAGCACACACTGGAGGGAAATGCCAAAGCCATAGACTCAGGCCATCCTACTATACATACTACCGCCAGCAATCCCACTCCCGCAGCTGACGGCAGGGGGGAAAGCGTGATGAGATCAGGAAGATAAGTCGATGCAATAAGGTACGATGGAAGTACACAGGAGTTTGTGGCACACCTACTGAGTTACTGTAAAACAGAACACGGGCAGTATTCTTAAGCCTGAAACCCTTTGAGCATGCTTGTGAGGGATTCTACAAAACTCTGTGAGATCAGCTCACTACCCCAGAACGAATTCGCCGTCGACGGCGCCACGAGTGAGGCGATCCCAGGAGCCCCCCCCGCCCCCCCCCAAACTGGTAGAATGTAGTACGATGGGGATTTGGCTCTCACCCATCAGCGAAGTAGACTAAATCCAGCACCGGGGGCGTCTGCATGCCCAGCGACAAGGATGACAGTCCCAGCTATTTGTCTCCTGCTAATGCGTCCTATCCCATTGATTGTAATGGGCCACTCCAAGAAGGGCACTAATCAAAACGGGATCCTTACGAAACCCACTAAATCATTTTGCCTAGCATCATATCTATACCGTTTGTGCCTGTCGATTGATACCTGAGACCTAAACACTAGTTTACATATATCCGGGTAACTTAGTGAGCAGAGCTAGGTACCGCATTCTTTGGTTTAACTCAAAATCGCGCTAAAATCAAACTAGCACATGTGGCAGGCCCTAGAGAGACTATTAAAGGGCAGCAACCTAAGCGAGTATAAAATTTGATCCTATACAAGCACATTGATGCAGTTCAAATTTTGATTATTGTACAAAGGCAAGTAGTGGTTACCTATTCTGTGAATTTTATTTGTTTGATGGTTTGCTTTTGTTCAATTTTATGCTGTGTCCACCAGCGTAAAAACATGATTTTAAACTCCCTTGAATATGAGTGCTGATTTCTGGTCCTAGGTTTTGCAAACGTGGAGTTATCTCTTTCTAAAATTGACTTTGGTCAACGTGCCAGCCATGTCTTTCCTGTCTGCTGTTCTTTGTAAGTTCTTTCTCATTTTTATTTCATATTTATTTACATACTTCTTGTACTATCACCGTACTTTGATCTCTGCCCTGTACCAAGCTCTCTGAAACTCATACTCATGCTTTAGCATCACTTTGATTGAGTAGGTGGTTGATATTCATTTTGGATATTTGCGGTCTGTTCACTTTACAGAAAGATGGATGACCTGATAGCCTTGAGGTTGATTTTAAAATACATTGCCTCATATCTCCATTATGGTTACCGGATTCACCTCATGGCAAGCTCGTCAAATTTCACTCTTCTCGTCAAGCGTGATTTCGGGTTAAACCAAAAAATGCGGTATTGCGGTAGTAGTAGGTGTGGTCATAGGTACTTGAATAGACTAGTGTTCTGGATAGCGGACTTGGCCCAAAAGAAATCAATCAATCAGGAATGGTTCGCTGTCATGGAGGGTCGCTAAATCAGCACTAATTAGCTAGTCGACATGCTAAAATAATGTGAAATTCGGCAACAGGTCAAGGGATACGCGGGGCTCTACTCGGTCGGGCACACCATCCGATATAGGGAGGCTCAGGAAAAGCCCCAACACCAGTATCGTGCAAACCTCTACGATCAAGGTCAAAAGTGGCAATCAGCCCCGTCCTCAATTAACTAATTAACAATAAAGAAGTTTAGTTTTTTTTTTTTTTTTTTTTCTGCCCCGATAGTAATCATCACTACCCGCGAACAAAGAGCTTCTCCAGCTTCTCGTGCACTAATTTTAACTCTCTCTGGAGTCTCTCCTGCCCCCTTTCCACTCGCTTCTCCATTTTTTCTATATCGGCCCCAACCCGATCCTGGACCCTCAACAGGCTATTGTTGTATTTTTCGTTCATCGCAACATCGTAGGACCAGATCTTGAGCCCAACCTATAGAAGTGTCAATACCAAATACAAAGAGGAAATGATTTCTGCACCCGTATAACATACCCCCAGCATGATTACCGATATCAGGAAGCAAAAGAATCCCCGTCCCTCGTTCTTGCAAGACTTGATTTCCCCTTCAATTCTCGCGAATCCCTTCGTTGTAACATGCTCATGAAGCCTTTCCAACACGATCACACGCTAGATGTAAATTAGCCAGGTTCGTTCTATTATACTTGTAGTTAAGGAAAGTAGCCAACAGCTTTGAGATCGTCATCTCTTTTCTCTGCCCCCTGCCCCGCCCCATCCTCAGGCTTCCCCTCCCCAGGCCCGCCGCCAGCCTCACTGGAAGAAGGTGCAGGAGAGTAGGGTTCGCCACCGAAGAGGTCATGACAACCTCTTCTCGCAAGGAACATGGTTGGGGTAGGGGGCCTAGGGGCAGAAGTGAAGCGGGTGAGGGCCGGATGAAGAAAAGAAACCGAACGAATAAAAGAATCCAGACCAGGAAAAGAAACGGCATGAACAAAAGAAACGGCATGAACAAAAGAAACCGGACGAATGAAGGCGGCCGGAAGAAGAAAAGAAACCGGACGAACCAAAGAGGCCGGACGAACAAAAGAGGCCGGATGAACAAAAGAGGACGGCCGAACCAATGAGGCCGGACGAACCAAAGTGGCCGAGCAGATGGCCAACCGGTGGGGGATCGGGCAGGGCATCTGCTAGTAAATCCCCAGTAGTTAGGCTTCGGTGCTCTAAAGTTACAAGCATATAGAACCAGAACACAGGGATGAAAATTTTGTATGGCAAATTGTCGGCGTATCTGACCACCCATACAAAATTCGGACTCGAATGTTTGGGTTCCAAATGCCTGTAACTTGTAGTTGGGGATAGGGGTACCAACCTGTTTGGTATTGTGAAGGGTGGAGGCGTGATCGGTGGACAAGTAATGATTAGCATGATCACTGCCTTGGACCGCCTCAGCATGGGAAGGTTCCGCAGTGAAGTCACCCGAGGTTTGATGGAATTGTCTGCGAACGAAACCCTTACGGACAAACCTGGAGTGAAAAGCCACCAACGGGAGACGACCTTTAAAAGAAAACATTTTAACTGTAGCAAAAGAACTGTTTTGCAAATGATAACTGGGAGAGAGGGGATGAAGAAACCTTGGATGGCGAGGTGAAAGTGGTGATGGAGAGATGGGGAGGTGTTTGATAGAGAGGCCTACTTATTGTGTTGTGACGCTTCCAAACCTACCAGTATCAAAAATCCGCGGATGCACAAACTTGACATCATAGTTCAGATTGGGTATGATCGTGGCTACGCACATCGTCGCTGGAGAATGCTGGCGCACGCCATGCTCATCTCTGTCTTAGGCATCATAGGAGGGTCGGCACACCTTCCACTATTACACCACTCCAGGAGATCCTGCTTGCCAATAGAGCCAGGCACTAGCCTTGACACTTGATATGGCACAAGCAAGCACCTCATTTCCATCATCATCATCCGAAACACTCAGTACTGGTACCGCATTTTTTGGTTTAACCCGAAATCACGCTTGACGAGAAGAGTGAAATTTGACGAGCTTGCCATGAGGTGAATCCGGTAACCATAATGGAGATATGAGGTAATGTATTTTAAAATCAACCTCAAGGCTATCTGGTCATCCATCTTTCTGTAAAGTGAACAGACCGCAAATATCCAAAATGAATATCAACCACCTACTCAATCAAAGTAATGCTAAAGCATGAGTATGAGTTTCAGAGGGCTTGGTACAGGGCAGAGATCAAAGTACGGTGATAGTACAAGAAGTATGTAAATAAATATGAAATAAAAATGAGAAAGAACTTACAAAGAACAGCAGACAGGAAAGACATGGCTGGTACGTTGACCAAAGTAAATTTTAGAAAGAGATAACTCCACGTTTGCAAAACCTAGGACCAGAAATCAGCACTCATATTCAAGGGAGTTTAAAATCATGTTTTTATGCTGGTGGACACAGTATAAAATTGAACAAAAGCAAACCATCAAACAAATAAAATTCACAGAATAGGTAACCACTACTTGCCTTTGTACAATAATCAAAATTTGAACTGCATCAATGTGCTTGTATAGGATCAAATTTTATACTCGCTTAGGTTGCTGCCCTTTAATAGTCTCTCCAGGGCCTGCCACATGTGCTAGTTTGATTTTAGCGCGATTTTGAGTTAAACCAAAGAATGCTGTATGGGCTAACCGTGGCCCACTCTCCAACGAGAATGCGGTTTCGGATATCGTAATATTCGAGAGTCAGGTTCTAGACGCAATGTTTACCATATTGTAGCAATTTTCACCACGCTAATGTACAAACACCCCTGCTCTCCGGAACGCTAAAGGTGGGCCACTTTTTCAACAGACTATGGGATAAGTAGTCAGCATAGTTCCGGGTTAGCCATCTTCTGCAGCACTTATTCGGCGATGGATGTGGGTGACCGGCAAGCCAGGGATTAGAGGTATCAACGGTTCTTACTTGTTTGATCAAAGGGTGTGTAGAATTGATTCTTTCATTTCCCAGGAGGGGAGTAAGCTCAGGCCTCCGGATTCTACTACTACCCGGCCTGCCACTTCCATAGACCACCGTACCCAAGCGTTTGACGTGTCTCTTATTGACCCCGCCCCTTGTTTTGTTGTGATAAACGTATGATATTATGGTGGAGTGCCGGAAAGAGTGGTATAATGGGCAAGAATCGGGTTATGCACAAAAGTCTACGAGTAGCAGTGAGAGTGAGGCCCCCAGTTTGTAGTCTACTTGATGCTAATAGCACTTACTCGTAAATTACGGTACTTGTAACTCAGTAGGTGGCATTTGTGGACACCATCGCTATTGACACACACTGCCAAATCCCGGCTCCCCTTGGTTAGATCCCGCGCTATCATTGTCTAGACAAACCTGAGAACCGACCTACACTCGAGTAGTAACCATCTACCGCCCAGTGCCTACGCATGATAAACAGCACACTTCATAACCATTGGACTAATAGACTAGCAGTTTCCGGGAATCTGTTTCTTTCTCGATCGGGTGTGCATCCGTGATTATATACAAAGAAAAGCTGGCAAAGTTAATGTGACCGACTTCGTGGTGTGGCTAGTTGTACAGTACCCGTACGAGTATCATACTCGTACTGTTGAAACATGTTAGATTTCATGCCCCCGTCCATAATTTTCATGCATGGTCACCTTTTAGACTTTTTCGGCTCAAATCACGTGTCAAACACCACCGTGCTTTCGCAAAGTTCCGGTTTGCCAAGACATCTTTGGTGGATTGTTGACGGAGCCGCCGCTTTGTTTACCCATCCCGTGTTAACCAGGGGGAAAAAAACACGAACTCCTTGAGCACCACTTCCTCCATCTGAACCACTATCAGCATACCTACAATTACCCCCCCCTGCACGATCCAAGGCAGCGGCAAAAGGTGTGGCATGAAAGCTGGCCCCTCCAAGCCTACCCCCTGGTCCTCATGGATCGCGCGCCTCCGGAGGGAATGAATGAACGGGCACTCAGACAAACGAAAGATGCTGTGGAGTGGTTCCTGGAGAGTTTGGCTATTCGCGACATAGAAGAGTTTGTGGGCTAGGTTAACGGAGTTCATGATGGATCTTCTAACGTCGGTGATGAAGGAGTAGGGACCATGATGGTTAGCGACGGAGATGAGGATGCGGGAGTAGACCCACCGATTCAAGATGACAAGTTCTGTGTGGACGGGGGGCCATCCGGTATCGCTGCGATCGGCATCAAGGATATTTGAGACGCTAGTCATGACTCTTTAGAAGAGCGAGAAGAGGGAAAAGAGCATAATCTTTCTGCATAGCAAGACTCCGATGATGAAATGATGATGAAATGTTCACCGTCTCACCTGCCAGTCGAGGCCCGGCACATAAGCCCTACAACACTAAGGCCAAGTACCTCATCCGAGTAAAGGGGTATGCTACGTGTTAGTGATCCAGATAGGAAGAGAGTGAGGTTAGAGGGTGCAGGTGCGGAAGTAGTGATGAAGGCGTACACGGGGTGGAGGTGGAGGTGGAAGGCGGGAATTAGGAGGCGATAAGATCTGCGCCTAGTCTTGGGGAAATACTAAGGAGCACTACGAAATGGAGACATAAGGTCCTATGGGGGTTGCAGCCGGAGAAGTTGACAGTGGTGAGGTTTGAGGATAGGAATAGCGATTGGTGGCAGTTTGGTATACATCCCACCCCTCTTCTGTTGAGCGTCAAGCAGTTAACAAGTCTCTAGTCCATGATATCGGCCCTCCACTCCCACCCCCGCCCCTCCTCCTTTCGTCTTGCTCCGGCTCAACCCTCCGCATGTGCCACACAAACGGTACCACAAAACACGCACCACCTCCCTACACCCGTGCAATACCCATTCCAACCGACCCCCTCCACCCCTCCGGCAGAAGCACAATCACCGGTGGCAGCTGCGAATACTTCCACATCCTCTCGACAGCCACTATCCTAAAAGGTAACCCAGGGGGATGGTCACGCAGAGGTGTAGAAGTCAATGGAGACCTTCTACATCTTCCCAGATGGAAACAAAGCGGGTGGGGTATTTGAATTGGAGGTGCCTCATAAAAGGTGATCCCACGCTGGAAAGACAGAGGTGGGCACGTGACTAGGAGGGTTACTATTGGCGGGCAGAGCGGGATCGTAAATATATCCGATCACACTAGAAGTTTTGGTGGTGGCAGGCATGCCCACGCCGGTGGAACGAAGGAAAATTCAAAGCCAGTAAGGGCACCCGAGCAGCTAATCACAGCCATCAGCGTTATCGGGCTCTTCCACGACTACAGGTCCTCGCTGTGGCGGGCCAGGGAAGAAGGACGCCTTGAGGATTGGTGTGTTTACATTCCCTCCCCTCTTTATATGGCTGGCTATCTAATGATGATAGGACACCCGCTTGTTTGGAATGCATTTGCGCGGTTGTGACGTTAACCAGAATTAGCCAACGTCTTGGATTCTCCCAGCCAGAGTCCCGGCGATAGGTAGGGCAGGGAAGGAGGCCGTAATTGTAGCTACCGGGGATGAGGCCGTGAAGGTTGGGGTTTTTGGGATACAGAGTTAATGGCTTGGCTAAACAATATTTATGGTTATTGCGTGCAGATATATAGTGCTTGTAATATAACTACCGACAACAACAATCCGCAGTGATTGTAACTCCTTCATTCACTGCAGCCTTTGGACACATAATACGCACGAGCGTCACCGTGATCTTCCCCTTTCCCGTGTGCCCCCCCTATATCATTGAACTAGTGACGATGAATCGGCACGAGCTGGAAGGGGGTGAGAAGACCCCGGACCTGACCATCCTAAAACCCGGTTAAGCGCCAAGATCCTAGGTACGGTTCCGCGACTGCAAGGAGAGCATAATGATTGGGGGGCAACGA